CCGATGCCTCTCCCTGTAAGTGATAGGCTACATTAATCCGTGTTCTCTGTGATCTCGGAGCTGGACTGTTTGGGATCTGAAAATGGGTAATTGTTACTCTATTAATTTTCCAACTTGAAATTTGTGCCAGGTAGTCTGTATCATCAGAGGGTTTTTTTGTTAAACGTTGTTCAGATGCCCTGACGATAAGTGAAGCTGTTTGACCTTCTAGAGAGCCATTTGGTGTATGGGCTTAAAAAATAACTTGTTTTAGAAGTGTGGGCCCTGGAATTTCAAGTGCCACCATTTTCCTCAATCTCCTCTTTTTTTATTTTTCCTTTTTTTTTTTTTTTTTTTGTTAGACTAGTTTTTGTTAGGAATACCACAAAACTGCAGATGCTGAGCATTCTTGTGATGGCTGCTCTGTGAATATTTTGCTTTGTTTGTGTTTTGAGTGCTCTCTGTGAATTAGGCTGCCTTTTGTTTTCCCTTGGCAGTCAGTATGCTAGAGCTCTTGTTAGCCTATATGGAGCTCCTTATTTTAATGAGACCAACTTCTCTACTGGCTGTCCTGCTATTGTTTTATTTATTTTTTTTAATCAATGAAGCTTCTTACTGTGACTCTCTTGGGACAATAGCTTTCTTATGTAAAATGAAAATGTATTCCTCAGGACAAAGCTGTGGGAAGCATAACATGCTCATTAGTAATGCTTGGTATATACACTGCCCTTCCCTTGTTCATTCATGGAAGGAAAAATGACATCAAGGATAGGATGTCTCTTCTTTCTTTCTTTTTTTTTTCTTTTTTTTTCTTTTTTTTTCTCCTAGAAATAAAAGGAGGGGAAAGATATCACTTGGAGTGTCTCTGGTAAAGTTTGAGAAGTGATAGCAGTCTTGATAAAAGGAGTTTGCTTCAGCCTGAAACAAACTAGTTGCTAGTTTGCTGGTCATAGAGGTAAGTTGTTTGAAATGCTTGACGTGTAGTCCTATGTAGCGTATGAGGTTCAAGACAGAGGGAGGGAAAAATGGGGAGGAAATGGCACTGTTCCTCTTTCTAGAGAAGAGGAAGGGGGAGATTTTTTACAATAATTGGGTTTTCTGTGATGGGCTATTTGGCCTGTTGTCGTAGGAAGGCAAGGTTGTACAACAGATGGAGAAGGAGAGAAGAATGTCATCTACATATAAAGCATCTGAGACAGGAGAGGGAAATTACTTATTTATTTTTAAAGGAAAACAGATGAGTTAAAACTGTCTGGCAATGTCTGCAATCTGGTTTCCATCTTAATCAAGAAGATTAAGTTTTATTAGAAGAATAAGTTAGAAGAACAGTTTTGCAGCTGTTCACCCATATCCTGAGCTGCCTCAAGAGAAGCGTGCCCAGCACATCAAGGGAGGTGATTCTGCCCTCTACTCCACTCTCGTGAGACCCTACTTGGAGTACTTTGTCAGAGGAGGCCATGAGGATGATCCGAGGGCTGGAGCACCTCTCTGATGAACACAGGCTGAGAGATCTGGGGTTGTTTAGCCTGAAGAAGAGAAGGTTCCAGGGAGACCTTAGAGTGACCTTCTAGTAGCTGAAAGGGGCCTACAAGAAAGCTGGGAAGGGACTTTTTACAAGGGCAGGTAGTGATAGAACAAGGGGTAATTGTCTTTAAACTGGAGTAGGGGGTAGGTTTAGATTAGGTATTAGGAAGAAATTCTTTACTGTGAGGATGGTGAGACATGGGAAGAGGTTGTCCAGAGAAGTTGTGGATGCCCCCTCCCTGGAGGTGTATAAGGCCAGGTTGGATGAGGCTTTGAGCAACCTGGTCTAGTGGAAGGTGTCCTTGCTGATGGCAGGGGGGTTGGAACTAGATGATCTTTAAGGTCCTTTCCAACCATTCTATGATTCTATTAAGTAACAGAGCAAGAAAGTTGTTTTTAACCCACTTCAGGACACAGATAGGTACATTTTGAGTTTGTAATGCCCTCCACTATCACTGTAGGTAATTATGCTGAGGAAGCTCCTTCTGGTACGTGTGTATGCAGCTAACCTGGTAATACTGCACATCTCTAGACCTGGAGTCTACATGGAATGACTTACTGATTCCCAGCCCAGTGTAGAGCTTGTGCTGAGTTTTCCCATGATTGAAAACATTGATGGAAAATACTGTGCTGGCTTTGGGAGAGAAAGGGTTGCCCAGATTGCCTCTAAAACTTTCCTTAAAGATTGTTTTGCCAAGGAATTGTCCTGATAGCCATATTGTTGCAATGGTTTGCAGCATTCTGTTGAAAACAAAGGTGTGTGCTAGCTGCCTGGAAAGTCAAAATCCCAACATAAATGACTAAAAACATTGATTTTTTTCATGTATCTATGCAAGAAGAAATCTCATTCTTCAAAATTATTTCCTTGCTTTAAGATTTTCATAATCTTAAAAGTATTTAATGTAAACTTAGGATGCAAGTGTGTGTATGCACACATGCACGAGATAGACTTGTGATAGAGGAAAGGGTGAATGCCAACATTGTTAAATCCAAGAATGGTTTGAAGTATTTATATTTCTCTTCAGCAAGGTAAATGCCTTACAGCTCCTTAAAATAAGGCAAACCTTTGAGTATTATTTATGCATACAAAGTTAGTTGCTACTTTGTGCTGTAATAACTGCTGCTTTATTTAATGACAGACAACTGAAGTTGGCTGAATACTGGATTACAACCTTAGCTACTAGGATACTTCCCTCTTCCCCACTCCACTCCTGGTTAGACTCGATCTTGTTTTTCCAAAATAGCACTGGTGGGTTTTTCTTGGGATTTTCATGAAAACCAGAGGGACTCTGTTAAAGATTCTCTTCTCTTTCCCCAGGGGGAGAAACTAATGTAAATGCAAGTGACCATGCAGAATGCAGTTCAGGTAAATGCCTTTTGTAATATTTAAATGCTGTATAATACCTTTTTTTTTTTTTTTTAAAGCAAAAATGTACCCCAAAGCAGATGAAATGCTAGAATCTCCAGACTTATCTCTAGTTAAAAAAAAAAAAAAAAAAGTAATAGTTTTCCCTTTTTACAAATGGAGCAATGTGACAAGATAGATAACCCAGTGTTATATCAGATAAGTGATCCTTTCTCTTCTGGAGCAGTGCTACCTTTGAAAGCTTTGAAGTCAAAGGCTGAGATTATTTAAAAACTTGCTCAACGATTAAGAGGTGTTTTTAAAGCCCTATGTTCTAGTTAATAACTTAAGTATAAATAAATGTGTTTTATAAACACACTTCCTGAACTGAAAGTAAGTAGTTCAGTGTACTAGAAGGACTCTTTCTCTTTGGGAATTTTGTACATGGAATTTCAGTGTGGTCCTTTTCTTAGAATGTAAAGCTACCTCACAGTTTGAAAATATGCAGTACTTCAGAGAAACACTGAGGATTCACATTCAAGAATTGTGTTATGTTCTTGCATGGGAATATGTTTCATCTTTTAACATAGTCATGTAATGATTTAAACACAAAATGCCTCTGAAATGTTTGATCAGAGAAATCAGTAGTCTGTAGTAAATTATATTATAAACTGCAGATTTCATTACTTAAGATGTGCTGAGATTAAAAAAAAAAAAAACAAACCAACAATGCCACAACTTTAATGCATGTTTTCTTTATTTAATATTCAGGAATGTATATCGTTTTAAATCCAAAGAAGTCAAGAGAATTAATTAAGTAGTAGTTTTGGTACAGGAGTTACTAATGAGAGCTGCACTGTTCATGATTACTGTTGTGTTTTTGTTTGGTGTACCTGTCTGAAGGGGAATGAACACTTACTCTTTGAATAATAGATCTTTAGCATAATTCAGAACTGCAGGTTTTCATCATCTGACTGCAAATATTAGAGCTTACTGAAATTTTCTACAGGTCTGGTTTGGAGAAGACCTTCCCTTAAGTCCCCGAAGTCCTCTGACTCCCAGACATGGGCCAGGTTTGGCAGATGTGTGCCTGTATGACCAGTGGATATCTGTGCGGCATGAAGCAACTTTGGTGCCTATGCAAGAAGATCTGTCAATCTGGCTGTCTGGCCTGCTGGGTGAGGTTAAAAATAAGTCACTGTGTAATAAATTTCAAAGCACTTTCCAATATACCAGGCAATGCTGACACTTAGTATCTATAGTACTATTAAGATTTGATGTATTTGAGCTTCAAGTGCTAGGAAAATTGCATTAAAATGCATGCCACAGATTTTATTAGCTGCCACCTCTTAGAGGTAGGATGATTAATTGTTCTAATTTATATGTCTGAATCTTGTTAGTCTCATTGAAATCTAAGTGGATAATTGATTTTAGTTTACTTCTATATTTCTACTAATTTTCAGTCTTTAACACTGTAGTAAATTATATGATGGATGGAGTGCTATGTGTTGAGTTCATGGAATGCGAAGTTCATATGATACTTTATCTTCTGTGGAGTAACTCTAATATTGACCTGCTTTTTTTAGGAATAGAAATCAAAGCAGAACAACTGCTGCAAGAACTTGATAATGGGGTACTACTCTGCCAATTGGTTGGTGTTCTTCAAAACACAATTAAAAAATGTTGTAGCTCAAATAATTTACGGGTGAGTCATATTGTGATTTTTTAAAACATATATGAAGTCTTTAATTGTAAGTAGTAGTAAAAGGAAAGCAGGTGCATGAGGCTTCCCAAGAGGTGTTCTGTGTACTGTGTAACCGGAGACTGATCAACAACGGTGTGGTGTTACAGATGGATAAACTGCTCTTATGCAACAAATTACTTCTAAAATCAAATCCTAATGTCTTTACTAGTTTTTCAGTTTGATTTTAGTAGAAGTCTTGCCAGAGGAAGATCTAGTCCAAGTCTGGAGTTTGTTCCCCTGATAACAACAGTGTGGGCTGGTAACAAGATAGCCATTGTCACTTGGTGGAATGTTTTATTTCAGAAACTGGTGCTAAACTCATGTATATGTTAGCCATTAAACTATATGTATTGAGATGTACCTAGAGATGGGCTTCAGTCTTTTTGTTAGGAACCAAGGCTGAGTTGAAATGTGGATCTCGAGCAACTTGCAGTCTGTGTTTGTACAATGAAAAATAGTGATGTGTCGCTTAGAAGTATAATGCTGGTGCAGGCAGCATATGTTCAATGTACAGGTACCCAGTATAGCTGCAGCAATGCTTGTATTTATCAAACAGCAGATCACCAGCTAACGTGCCCTAATTGGTTGTGTTGCCCTTGGGGGAAGGGGGAACTGTTTCATCATACACAGATAACTTTTTTTTTTTGTGTTTACCTTTTACTGTTTTATCTAGTGAAACACTAATTTTAAATAATTAATATGTACTCGTGAGTAATATAATTACTAATATTAGAGGGGGGGGACAAGATAACAGTTTTAGTATTTATACAAGTAGTATATATATTAGTATTTATCCAAATAGTATTTATACAAAGACCATATGAATTCTGCTTCTTTTTCAAGAAGGACAAGATGCCCAACTTGCCTACCTTTGAACAGCTTGTTTAGTTTTGAAGATACCAGTTTAAAAACAAATAAGTACTGAATTATTTTAAAGGAAACTACCATTTGCTCCCTTTTGGTTCCCTCTGCTTTCTAGAAGCAAAATATAGTTTAGTTGATTTGGTGTTCTCTCTCTGTGTTTATTCTACTGCTATGAGCAGAGCTTGGGAGCAGGGAATAACTATGTAGACCTGTGAAATTACCAGTAAGACTTTTACCCCAGCCTATGGGGAAATGGAGAAGGAACGCATGGGCAGCTTTGTGAGAGGCTGCAGAGTTAAGGATCATTCACTCAGTGACTGTTCAGGAAGATAAGGTGGAATGCCATCTACATTAGCATAGCTTTTTTTAATAGAATACATGGTGGGTTGAACACAAAATAGTTACTAACCACTGTTTCTGTACTCTGAATTTATGGTTTATTTTTCTTTGCAAATGTACTTTGAAATCTGTTGGCAATGTTGATGTGCACAACATACTTTTTGTTTTCTTCCCTTGCCAGAATTTTCCTATGAGAAAAGTTCCATGTAAGAAGGATGCTCCATCAGGATCTTTTTTTGCCAGAGATAATACAGCCAACTTTATTAACTGGTGTAGGGCCATTGGAGTTGATGAGACTTATCTCTTTGAATCTGAAGGTTTAGGTAAATCTATATTTTTGTAAGACTTGCTTTGATCTGTATCTAGATAACTACCTGGTCAGGGAAATCTGTTGTTAATAGTCTTGTGAAGCTGTTGTCACAACTGGACCTGTCTTGTGCAAGCTGTTAATGCTTTTATTTGTTTTAAGGCAGTGTTCACGTAAAAACCTTGAAAAATGAGTTCAGTGACTGCTCTAACTTGCATGGTGCTTTTCCAGCCTTCTAAAAGTTGCCATGTGGGAGGAAGGGAGGAGTGACAGCTATGCAGCAAACTTGTATGTTTTCCTTCAGTAAAAAGACCCACTAAGAAACAAGAGGAGAAAAGTATGGTTTTGCTTTCCCTGTGTGGGAAGACCACAGGGCCATGGAGTCAACTCACAATAAGATCCTTTATTTGGTATTAGAGCTCATTCTTGGTGCAGAAAGCCCTCGGAATAATGCATTCATGACTGATATATTTGGTAACTACATCAGGGCGTTGTGCCTGAAGTGACAACAATCTGTTGGTAATTAACATTTACTTCAGGACATACTTGACACGACTCTAAACCATTTGTGTTTTCCCATTTAATAAGATAGTTATAAAAATAAATATTGCCAACTGTGTGTATGCCTGCTCCCATGCACAGTCTGCCCCTTGTAACAAACAGTTTCTAGACTTATACTTCCAGATGGAATAAAAATTTTTTGACTGCTAATTAAGAGCATTAATTAGTTAATGCTTTCATTGCACAGTAAGTAATGAAATGCTCTTCTACCAGCTATTATGTCAGTAAAAATTAATTAATGTCAACCTTTTTGTGGAAAGCCAAATACTGGGGTGTGGTTTTTTGTTTGGTTTGTTGATTGTGCGGGGGTTTTTTTGTTTGTTTGTTTTTTTCTTAAGGGCAAAATGTCTCTGTCTAGCAGAAGAGCAAAAAAATTATTTCGTAATCAAATGAATTTGCCACAATATTTACTAGATTTTCTTGAAGCCTTTGTGCCATTTAATACTATTTAAATGGGATGCACTGTTTTCATTAACTGCTTTCCTTTCAAGCTCTCCTCCCTGCTAGTTGAACTGCCCATGCCTTCTGTACTGGATAAGTCATCTCTTCAAATACTTGAGAAAACATCCTCATTTGCATCTGTCTCATTCTGATTTAACTAGGGAGCGTATCTTATTTCAGTGCCATGAAATACAGATGAGTAGGAGGACTAAACTGTAAGAAAATTAGTTTTAATGTTTTTTTTTTTCAGTTCAACTTGTATGAATTGCATTGCTTAAACATCTTAGTTCCTGCAAGTGGATGGGTAACTAGAACCTGTTTAGCCTTCCTGAGATAAGCATACACAATTTCCTAATGCTGTGGCTTTTGCTCATAGCCAAGAAGCATTTTGAAGTCTGATTGTAACTCTTGACACAAGCTTGCTTTGTGGCTTAAATATCTTCTATGAGCCTTTTTGGCAGTCAAAATGAGCAGACTTGCAGCCTCCTTGATGAAACATTCTTTCCACTGATGTTCTCCATCAAACTTTCAAGCCCTCTATGAATGAACAGAGGAAAGACAATTTGACAATTGTCCTTTTCCCATCAGTTACATATAGCAACGCCTCCCGAAAAGTGTGTGTGACTGTGAAGGAAATAAATTAAGTAGCTCCTGAGATGCCAGAAAGAGTAACCATCGTGGGATGCCCTTTGACATCAAGCCAAAACAAATGTCTTGATCTCTGCTAGGGGTATATTTGGATTTTTCTCTTCTTCATTCAGGCAAATTACACCACTTCTGTTACAGCTGACAAAAACAAGAAAAAAAAAAAAAAGATAAATTGACCTCTAGTACCTTTTAGATTATGGCTATGTCAACCTTCTATTCTAGATTTACCATTCATAATCAGATTTTTTAAAAAGTAGATTTACAATCTGGAGTAGATGATGTAAACAAGAACATCTGATTTCATACTCAGCTTATACTTTAGGAATTACTTCATTCTTATTTAAAGCAATGTTGTTTTAAATATCAAATTGAACATCAGAAAGATGTTAGATTTAATCTGTAAATATAGAGCTGGTTCATTAGTTTGTCTTCAGAGTGAGTTTCCAGTGTCTACTGCATAGTTTGAAGAAAGTGAAAGGTGTTTGTACAATGCTACACCTTATGAAAACCGTATCCACAGCTTTTTCCATTTCTTATACCTGATGGTGGTGGGGGAGAACAGTGCCATTTGTGTGGATTGAGGGGAGCTGAGTGACCTTTCTCGCAGCCTTTGGTTTCTGAGTCATTAGGTAGCATTCCTAGTTGGATAAGAAGTTACAGTGATGGTTTGTTTTCTGTAGAATTCATACAACTCTGTTCTTAGAACATGCTGAGAGCATCTCGATTTTGAGGCTTAAATGGGGACAGAGGAGGAAGTAGTTACTTGTATATGAGATTTTAAATTATTTTCTTTCTCTGTTCATGGCCTTGTTTCTTTTTCCTTTTTCTGGCACACCTAGAGATGGAATTTTCAAGAAACCAAAACAGACATTGTTTTCCTTCTGCCTTTTCCATTCTTCAGTGCAGCAATAGAAATAATTTAATGTTTTCATTTCAAAGTGGCCAAGAAAACCCAGAAGACCTGCCACAGTCATCTTCACACTGTTTGGCTATCAGTCCACTCTTCCATCTCATTCTTCAGCTCTCCTGGTCGTCATTTAATGTGTCTACACAGTCAAATGCTTGCTGCTGCTAGAGCTGCTCTGAATTGAGGGGTGCAAAGCAATCTTGGTGTTGGACACTAGCTGGGTTAATGTCTGTTGGGCACAGTCTTGAAGAAAATGCTAATGCAAAACTCTGCGCCAACATATCTGAAATAGTGTTGCTTCTTTTTTGTGATCACAGCTGGTATCTGATGTTTGAATCTGAGCGGTTCTCTCTCAAACCAATGTCATTCTCCCCTCTGTATTGTCAGGGGTTTTGACCATCCTTTTCAGCTACAGCCTCACAAAGATAGCAGGTTCTGAAGAAAACCTCTGAGTGGATGGGCCAGGAGGTGGGGGCTGATAGGGAGGGGTGAAATCAGGATATAGGAGCTACCCTGGCAAAGTGGGATCTTCTAGTGGAACTGGGTCAGTTTGCCATATGGATGGATCCTGCTGGCACCCAGAACTTTAGAAGTGATAAAAAGAAAGAACTGTTGCTTACTGAAATGGTAAAAATCGCCCAGATTGTTCTTTCACAACTAAGGGTTTAAACCGCGTAGGGTTACTGGCTATGCCGAACCACCCACTTATACGCTAGGTCCCTTGCAGTGTATTCTCCCATGGTTGTTCAGGTATAGAGTGTGTGTGCACCTGTATACATGAACAGATAGAGTATATTTTCCTATTTACAGTTGTTGAATGCTTTTCATCTTTGATTGCTGTAATGTATGTGGGGATAGGGAAGGGAAAGCTCTCAGATCTCTTTCTTTCTGGTTCACATCAAAAAAGAACAGCATAAAACCAAATAAAGCCTATTTCTCTTAGGAAGCGGAGAAGAATTTCAATGCAGGAGTACTAGGATTGGTTTAAACACTTAATGGAATAGAAAACTAGAGTTGGAAAGTATACAGTGCTTTGTCTATGTAATGTAACTTACCTCTGGGTAGAATGATGGCAAAGTTATAGTAATCTATTCCTTAACTTCCCTTCTCTGTACCTAATTGCACAGGCTTCTCCACAGTAAGTATGAGCTGTAACTCCCTTTTATTCTCTTCCCCTTTAGTTTTGCACAAGGATCCAAGACAAGTGTACCTTTGTCTGTTGGAAATTGGACGCATTGTGTCCAGGTATGTGATCCATACAAGAAACTCTTAACAAGAAATTGGAGAACACGTTCTATTAAGTAAAAGCTAAGACAATGTTAGCACAGTCTGCAGTCATTAAGTGCAGTGCAGTAGATGTTAATTCCATGCAGAAAGTAATGAGTAGCTTTTCTAGTACCATTGTACAATATGAATATTTTTTCAACTATTTATCAGACTTTTTTCAGGCAGATGTGTCAATCCACACTGCTTTTTACAGCTGTATGTATAAATGCTACATTCACCTTATAGATATGTCTACATCTTAGAAGAACTCACTGAACATGAAATGTGATTTTAAGTTGTTTTTTTGTTTTTTTTAAGCTTTTTGTCAGGTATGGAAACTTTAGGTATGAATCAACTCTATCAGTCTCTAGCTTTAGACTTCTAATTTATTTCCAGCGCAGAGCAGAAAGCTTTAAGATAGTTTACCTAAATTGGATGTGACTTAAGTTGTGTAGCTTTGACAGTATTTTTACTGCCTTCTCTGGCAGCTCTAAGGCCACCTTTGGGAGGACTACTTCTAGAAACTCAAGAGTTGCTCTTTCTCTTTGCATTTTCAAGGCAGTTATTACTCTGGCTGATTTAGTGCTGTTCCCTGTCAGTCAAGCTACTCAGAATTTTGCATGCCTGTTGTCACATAATCACAGAATGGTAAGGGTTGGAAGGGACCTCAAGAGATCATCTAGTCCAGCCCTCTGCCAAAGCAGGTTCCCTACAACAGGTTGCACAGGAAAGCGTTCAGGTGGGTTTTGAACATCTCCAGAGATGGAGACTCCACACCCTCTCTGGGCAGCCTGTCCCTGTGCTCTGGCACCCTCACAGTAAAGAAGTTTTTCCTTAAGTTTGTGTGGAACTTTCGGTGTTACAGTTTTTGCCCATTGCCCCTTGTCCTGTCACTGGGTACTACCAAAAAAAGCCCCGCCCCATCCATTTGGCCCCCACACTTCAGGTGTTTATAGACATTGATAAGATCCCCTCTCAGTTTTCTCTTCTCCAGGTTGAAGAGTCCCAGCTCTCTCAGCCTCTCCTCATACGGGAGATGATCCAGGCCCCTAATTATCTTTGTGGGCCTTAGCCTTCCTAGCTGCATCCCTGCAGGCCCTGA